TCACTCAAACAATGCAGACTCTGGGCCCTCACCCCTGATCTGCTGAATCAGAGTCTCCCACTCTGGGGTCAGGTTATTATTATTACTATTATTGTTACTTTAAGCTCCTGCAGATGATTCTGATGTTGCCAGACTGACCAAATCATCATTTAGAAATGGCCAAACAGACTTGTGACCCTTCTTCTACATTTATGCCTAATTTCAGATGTAGTTTTTCATCATGCTCTTTGCCCAAGCAACTGGATTCACAGACACTATTATTGCACTGCTCTTACATGCACAGTATGTGGGGCTTAGGACAGGAAGACTCAGCAACTGAGAGTCCCATCCTCAAGGAACATGTTGGATATCCCCTCCAAGGGGCTGTGGGATCCGCCATGAATCCAGGCCAAGGAGCCTTCACGGTGCTTTGGCCTCCAGCTGACCCCAGCACTAGTGCTGACTAAAAGTGACTTAAAATTGACCTATTTGGGCACCAGTGGATGTCCTCCCCGGATTGTGGTCTCTAGGTTTTCCTCTCATGACTCACACTCTCCGACTCTTTCCTCACGTGTTCCTAGAGCACACCAAATATGCTAGGAACCCATCCAAGCCTGTATTATAATGGATTTCATGCAAAGGATTTCCAGCCTTCTCTCAGCTGTCACGATGTGACTACTGCTGCTGCTATTTTATTTGAGATAACTAGAGAGATTGTTCTAGAGTAGATGTACTTCATTTATTGTCCCAGTTACTGATGACAACTTTGATTTAGCATGAAGTTTATGATTGGGAAGATGGGCTTGTTTAGCCCAGTTTCACAAATCTTCCCATCTCTGCTCTGTATACTCTCATGGAATAATTAACACCCACCGACATGTGTCTCATTTCTCCAAAGAGATTGGAAGCTCCTAGAGGGCAGGGGCTGTATCTTCTTCATTGTAATACCCAGTAGATATAATTCTAGGTACCTAACGAGAACAGTATCTCTGATGCCCAAATGTTCTTCTCCCCAGAAATGCAAACCAGAGATTATTATCCTCTTAGGTAGAAAATCTCCCAGAATAAAATATTAAACCAAACAGCAATGAGAAGCACATAAAAGCAAATTATTTCTTCACAGCATTGCCCTACCTAATAAGACAATGAGCTCATTTACAGCAGCATTAATGGGCATCTGTTCAGCCTGGAGCCTCAGGATAGTCCACTTGGGGTGTCAAGAGAAGACCCAGACTTCCTGGCATGAGAAAGTCATCGATGACTTGGACAAAAGGAAAGTGGGCCAAAATATTAGCGGATTTTGGTGTCTGCCCACCAGAGCAAATGACTCTGGAGAAAGGGACTCTTGGAGTGGCATTTCATTTGATAAATGTTTATTGAATACCTACTATGTGCCAGTTCTAACGCTTAGCATTTGAAGGTGACATAAGATGGGTCAGATCAAAAGCAGGACCTTAATGGGGTAGCATAGGCATAGAAAAGACTGAAAAAATATGTTGGAGAGAAAATTTTTATTCTGGAAGGGCTGAAATTGCATGAAAGAGAGCTGAGTACCTACTTTGTTGAGTACACTTGTTGGGTGCCTGCTGCACACACGTACTGGTCTGGCCCTTTCCTTCTGCCCTTAGAACCTGCGAAGGCAAGACGTGTGCCTTGGGGAAGCTGGAGCATCCTTCCCAGACATGAAGCACAGGCCATACTGAACTTGCAGGAACCCGACAGGGCTACCTGGGGAGATGTCGGGCTTGAAGGGCCTCATGATAGCTTGCGTTTTCCCAGAAGGCCTCCCTCTTGCTGTCATTCGGATCAGACCAGTTACCACGAGCAGGGTGGAGCTGTCTTGCCCAGCCACAGACACCAAGGGAACTTTCAGTGGATGAACAGTGCCTGGGAAGGAACCTCCTCCCTTGGTATAACACTGAAAGTAGGTCACGAAAGGGCCTAGATCTCAGGATGTCTGAGGAGAATCTTTATGAGTCACCAGAAGATTCCTGCACTCAGGGCTTCATGGTCAAAGCTCATGCTTACTGGCAGCATTGGCCTGATGGGTAGGGATCCACCTAAACCACCTACAGGGATGTTTGTGGGATGCTGAGAAGTTTCTCCAGAATACCTCATGCAATGGCCTGTGTCCGTAGCTGAAGTCATGGAATCATTCCTCTTGGCTAAAGAAATGCCCCCTATTAAATGTTTGTGGACAAGAGGAAGAGCCATAGCTTTGGTGGACTCACAGTTAGGTGGAGTCATAGAGTACTGACTAATGACACCCAAGAAGTGTTGACTAATCCGGGTCAACACTGATCAGTGGATGGTCTCTAGTGGTGTGCCCAGGACTCTGCTCCTGCCTATCCATAACATATCAGGAACTTGCATGAAGTCGAAAATGTGTACTGATAAAATTTACAGGAAATGCAAAACTAGGAGGAATTGCTGGAATATAAAATTATGGAGTGAAGATTCAGAAAAACTACATTAATTTGAAACAATAGACTCAAACTGCAATGTATTAGGGTTGAATATAAGGGTCAATATGAAGGTTTAGTTGATTGACTACAGACTCAGTGTAAGCCAAGGGTATAATATGGCAGGTGAAAAAGTGAATACAAAGTGCAATACTGGTAGAAGAATCCTTTCCCTAAACTCTTTGTTTTTTAGTCCAACAACTGAGTGTGTGGTTCAGTTCTGGGTCCATCTCTTAACCAGGTCACCCAGAGCAGGGGCCAGCAGGATGGAGACAAGTTTAGAGATCATATCACATAAGGAACTAGAGATTATTTTCAAGAAAAGAGATATGGGGGAAACCTGTACTGACAGATATTTGAAGTGCTACCATGGAGAAGAATATCTATATTTTATTCCAATGCCCAGAGGTAATATGGAGGAGAAGGTAATGGGAGGCAGATTTCAGCTCAGTGGATGCCCCACAGTGGATTGGTTTAGCCTAGTCAGTGGTAAGCTCCTTGTCCAGGCATGAACCGATGACCTCCTTCCAGGAACACTGTGGTCAGATGCCTGCAGGGGGAAGGAAGCAGGATCAGTGATTGCCACATTCTGAGGTCCCTTGTTATTTAGCATCTATGAAAATGCACCCATCCACATTGGGGGTGTCCACTGGCTGGCTACTGCCAGCATTCACACACGTGTGTGTGTATGTCTCACACACACACACACACACACACAAGATGTCAACTAGTATGTGTGTTGTGCTCTGGCTCTCTCTCTCTGCCTCTTCTCCGGCCCCCTCACGACCTTTCCCTTAAAACCAGGTGCAGTCTTTATGCCCTGCTCTTCCACATCAAAGAGAGTTAAAGCCCTCCCTTGACTTCCTCCAGTTTAGGGTCTGTAAATTCAAAAGTGGCCAAGAGCAAAGTGTGGTCAAAACTGAGTGTCAGTGAAGGCTTGCTCCATGTCTGTGATCCCAGCTGTGAGCCACTGGGCTGATGAAAGTGATGGAGACATCCCCGTCTCCTCCCAGCACTATCCTGCAGGGGCGTAGGCTGTGCTCTTTAACATTCACCCTCATTGACTCCT